GTTGCTTCAAGTCTTCAACTTAACACAATATCTAAATTTATTGTTCTAATTTTTAGCTCTTTTTTATGTCTCCAGAATCACGGGATTATCGAGAAAGTTTTATTTTTCTTTAAAAACACTCAGTAATTCATATAGTTCTTTTAAGTACTTAATATGCCTAATGCTATTCATTATTATTTCTAAGTTTTCCAAAAAGCATTCGCACTGGCATTCGAGTAATGATCAAACTTATACAACGTTATGAAAGTTGCGTGGTCTTTGGCGACTACTGTATATGCCGAAAGATTCGGGGTCCAGATGTGTTATCGCGTTCATCATCTCCCAAAGGTAAGGAAGAAAAAGAAATATAATTTGGTCCATGAACCCGCCCCCTCTTCTTCTTCCTTACCTTTGGGAGATGATGAACGTGATATAAATATAAACGCAGATAGGTGCACATCGATCAGTTACAGGACACACTCGTCCGCCTTGATGCCTTTGGAGCCCTCTGCTTCTCGATTCACGCCGCAGAGCGGCTAATGGTATAGGCAGAAGGAGATTACCAATAAAGACAAGGGAGACTAGGATCGCCACTTCTGGCTTATTGGCTGTCGTCAGCCAGTCGTACCCAGACCCAAGTGGTGCCCCAGAAATCGGTGTACCACCCGAGCCCCGAACCCGCGATAATGTCAGTTAGAAGTCCAATGCTCTAACCACTGCGCCACAAGCACATAAATGTTTGCAGTGTATATGGACCACCTTGTATGCTTTATAATCAGCACTAATAATTTAAAATGTACAGTGTTTTATGAAAGGGCATTTCAAGGGTCTTAAAAGGCATCATCATTAGAAGCGCTTTAAAATTGAAAGATCCCTTTCTTTAGGTATCGGACTTGAAGAAGACGTAATTTAATACCCAGTAATTACAAAAAAGAATATTTCGTGCAGGTTTTCTACAAAGAATATTCGGATGTATAAGGGCATTGCAAATCACATTAATTTACGATTTTTTAAAACTGATCGGGATGAAGATCATATAAAGCCGGCAATATAACATGACTTAACTATTTTTTGATCATGCTGCAGAATAACTCATCCTACAGATCTACTAACCCAATCTTACCTAACCAAAAAATATTTCGGAACCTTGGTTATCATTGCACGAGATAGCACATTTAATGTAATTCATACAGGCAGCGCAAATTATTATTTCTCAAAAAAGATTGCATATTGCCGTAGGTAGTTATTTCAGTTTTATCTCCCGATAGGCAGTGTAAGATTCTAATTTAAGTGATATTTCATTGTTAAAAACCATACTCATTCCTTTTTCCATGAGGTTCTTGCACGAATCCCCTGTCTCCTCATACAGAAAGATTGACAGACTAATGTTGGCACCAAATAACTCATTTCTACAGGTTGGATCGTTCAAAGGAAAATTTAACCAATATCGCATTGAGGTCGGCGGTCGATGATTGAATTTTGAATTCAACGGTAGATTGTTAAAGTAGCTATGTTCATCGAACGTTTGGTTTATTTCGACACACGTTTCAACCTCGAACACAGCGTCTATCTTTAGGGGGAAAGAAGGGGAAAAAAAGAGTATTTATAAGTTATTTTAATTGATGACGAATGCTGTTGCCGTGAAACGAGGATGGGTGCAATATTCCAACCAGCTTTTCAGAAAACAGTACGATCTCACTTGTTGAAGTTGCAAACTAAGATAGGAAGAGAGCACAGCCTTTTAAGTGGCACTATTAGTGACAGCAAAATAAGCCCGTAGTCTAACACTGAGCCAAAGCATGACGAAAAAGAGACACCCATGCAGCATAGCATCCATGAGAAAAACTAGACCTGGGTAGACTGACAACGTGCTGGCATACACTGAAGTAAAGAGGAGAGAACCGAAGAGATTTGCAAAGGTCTCCAAAACGGACATAAATGCAAAGCCAGTGCCGACCTCATCTTCTTTGACAAGTTTACTTATCAATGACCGAGTCCCTGTTGTTATATATCCCGCCGAAGAACCAAAAACAGCCGAGATGAAGAGCACGTACGTATTATGAGAGACACCTGTAGCTATTAGACGTC